GTGTGGGCTTCAGAACACTTTAGAAATTACCTTTATGGAACAGAATTCAAAATAGTAATACACCATAAAGCCTTACTCTCAGCACTTTCAGCAAACGACGGGAAGAAAACGATGCATAGTCGACTGACCCGTTGGGAGAATACTTTTTTACCACTCAATTTTAAAATATCCCATTTACCTGGAAAAGATATGGGCTTTACAGATCTTTTATCTAGACTTCCTTCGGGCAAAGCCCTCCCAACTTACCATTATGACGATGAATTTGTAGTCGCTTCAATCGACAAAATTCAGAAAATTCTATTAAATAGACCACATTCTAACTCTGTAGTTGTTAATACTGTAGATAGACCGGCGGTCGCTGTAAATACTTACTCTCTCGTTAATAATAATATCCCGTCGGGAATAGAAAATTCAAGCGACGTGATTGGTCAAAACATTTTAAACAGCTCTAGCTTACTTCAATCTCAAGATTATTGTTGCTATCATATCTTTGTTGCTCGGTCGATAAAAATTTGCCATAACCACCATACTCGGACAGAAAACTGTACCTCTAATTGCCTAACCATTGATAATTCGAATTTCAATTTTAAAAGCATTACCTTTTCGGACAAAGTCCTTTTACATTTTATCCTCGAAAATAGACAATTTTACCATCTTCTAAAACGCGTTTAGATTTTCTAATGGACAAACTTATTGAACCTCTATTAATTATCCCTGAAGAACACAACATTGCCCTCAAATTCAGAGACGACCGGCTCTCAACTGATCACGCGAATCTTGTAAGGAGATACAATCGGACTTAAACTTACCTTAATCCCCAATTCGTCCAGAAAACCATTGCTCAAAGAAACTTTTACAAATCATGACCAGGGAAGACAAAGTGCGGTGGGACTTGATCGAGACGATAAAGACGAATCGACCAATGGGCATCCACGGAGCCTACATGAAAAATTTTGCCAACGACCTACACGTGAAGGATGATTTACTTTTCCTCGACAACAAACTAGTCGTACCAGCCACTATCAGGGGAACTTTTATTTCTACGCTCCACGAGACCCATTCAGGACAGTTTGGGATGAAATCGCTTGCCGAATACATGTGGTGACCACGCATTTACAGAGAAACTTATCACCACGGGAGAACGTGCAGCCAAAGCTTGAAAGCTGGTAAGAACCTTAAAGTCTTACTAGGTACAAACAACATTTCAAAACTACCTACTCTGAAATTCGCGAATGAAGAAATCAATCTGGACTTTGCAGGCCCGTTAGACGCGTTCTGAGGAATTAAAAAATACATCTTTCTATGAATTGACCGCTTTACAAAGTTTCCTTCGGCCAAGATCGTAAATAACACTTCCGCGAAAAACGTGATTTCTTTCTTAAACGATTACTGTCACATTCACGGGTTTCCAAGAAAAATTAGAGTTGACCACGGGTCGTATTTTTTATCTTCTGATTTTAAAAACTTCTGCGAAAAATTCAACATCGAGATTATTCACTGTCAGTCAACGATCACAGATCCAATGGGCTAGTGGAAAGATTAGTTTATACGATCAAATTGAAATTACTGGCAATGTCTTTCGAATTACCTAAACCTCCATTAAATGCTTCGATCGAGAAAATTATTTGGAACCTGAGAATTTAGAAACAAACGGCAATCGGCTGTACCCCTTTCGAAAAACATTTTAATAGAACGGCGAACATTAGATGGAAAATCTTATGTCCGATAATGATCATTTAGATAAAGGGAAATCGATCATATCCAAACAACGGGCCAGAAACTGGGAACTTAATGACAGGACAGAAGATGGGTACCTGACGAGGAAAAGGACAGCCCTTCGGACCCGGAAGACAATCTGCTACTAGCAAGGACCATCACGAGCAATCTCATCCCAGAGGGACACCGACAACCTCCAGGATCTCCTTCAAAGAGAAAATCAGTCATGGGAGGTAATCTATATAGAAGGCTACTAACAGGAAAAACAGGGATCCTTATTTTAACTTGGTATAGAAAGACATCATTGACTTATCAGAACACACTATAACCCTTGATAAGGGCCATATTTTACGTAAATCAGACTTGGCAATCACAGGAAAAATACTCCCTGGCCCTAATAAAATCGTGGTGGTCCAAACACCCACCGGGCACAGACATCACTCTCATTCGAGTTTAGCCGGAAAAAAGATGCTCTCACCCCCGAAGAAGTCAGTAGTGGCACCCTCATTGCATTCAGATCAAGGCACCTCAGGAGCAGGCAGAAATATATCGTCGACAGGTGCACCGACAGTGGCCGAGGCTACTCAAGACCTCACCCGAAGCTCTTCAGGTTCTTCCTCATCATTAAATCTAAACCCGTGGGACGGGATCATTCATAGTTACTTCGACGACGTGACTAATAATAACTTACCCCAGAGCCACCAACCCGAATTTAACCAGGGATTAAGTGTTACAGGTACGGCTGACTCCCCGCACTTGAGCTCAAAACTGTCAGTTAACACCGACCTTCGGGAGATCATCAACGTTCCCGACTCGGCCGAGATAGAAGGGTCGGAAGAGAATTCCATCTTGATCGACAGTATTCCGAAAGCCGCGACCAATCCGACTACTCAACAACGTCAATCAGGGCCACGCAGGAATTTGGGACCCCCTCAATTTTACGGAAATCGACAATTTATCGACGTAGTTGTGGAAAAAGACAACATAGGGACGTCACACTCTTCATTTATCGCCTCTCCCGAGAAATCTAGGGCAACCTTCACGATTTCCTCTCAGTCCGATTTTCTGACACCGTTAGCGGAGGCTCCTCCCCGACAAACTCTCATTGCAGAAACAACCCTAACTTGGTCTACAAAGAATTCATGCCCTTTGGTCAGATCAGTCCATTTTACAATCACGACCCTATTAAATGACAATTCGTCGGGATCTCATTCAGCTCACCAGACCATCAAGGACTCCTCGGACGAGATAGATAATTGCAGCGAAATTTCCTCGACAATTGATTCAGAAGTAAAAGCAAAACTTGATGACTTTGATGAACAATTTAACTGATTTTTAAAAACTTTATTCCTACCCTACTCTCCAGTTTCATTAGTTAACTGTATATAAGATTGTACGTGTTAAATGTACGTGTTGTAGATTACTGCTTATTTTTAGTCTTAGTTTAGTTATTTGTTTTATTTTGTAAATCTGTAAATTCTGTATATTCACCCTGTACTCTTTACCTTCTCTTTTACTTGTAGATGCTGTTTTGCTTGCTGTGTTTTTCCCTCCATGACGCAGTTTGCAAAATTTTGTTTCTACTTTGAAGGGGGGTAAAAGGGTGTATATTGAATAAGTTAGTGATTAAGCAGTTTAATTTTTATTCCCGGTGGGAAATTGTGATTTGTTTTAGTTGTCTTAAATGACCTTCGGAATTAATTAATAACTGTTAACTAATTTCGATACGACCATCGGTCGATCGCAGTGTGTAGTCAGTTGTCCTTTTAGATTGTTTTAAATTAACACCTTATCTTTTATTAGTTTTATTCTTTTAAGTATCTGTACATTAGTTGTACATAGACCGTAGATTTAGAATAGTTTATTACAATGGTTAAGATTTTTTTTTCGATTTTGCTGTTTGATTTAAGTGTTTATTTCACCGAGTTTTAAATATGCAGCTCAATAGTGGGATGGTGTCAGGGTTGTCCCAGGGGTTGTGCATTTGGCCTCCAGTTTTGAATCCCCTTATCTTTTTAATGTACGAGATACGTCGATTTTTTCAGAAAACTCAAATTTCAAATTAAAAACAAAACTTGAAATTCCCAACCCTGTAATTGGGTGCTGTTAGAGTACTCTCAAGGATTGTGAATCTTGCCTTGACTGCTCAAATCCTCGTAGTTTTCGAAATATGACGTGTTTCATGACTTTTGAAATTTTTTATTCAACTTATAGTTTAAAAAATCGAAAGAATCGAAATTTCAAACCTTCCTTGTGGTGAGGGTACTCTCAAGAGTTCTAAATGGAAATTGTTGCGTCCAAAACCCACTGTTCAAATGCTCTTAGTTTCCAAGATGTTACGTTTGTATTTTTTTAAATTGTTCAAATAACTTTGTTAGATATAAAACACTTTACAAAATTCGAAGTTCCCATCTCTTTAGTGAGGCTCTGTCAGGGTAATCCCAGGAGTTGCAACTTTTGACTCTAAATTTGACTGCTCAAGTTTTTTGAGTTTTCGAGTAATGACATTTTTTGTGACTTTCAAAAAAAAATCAGAAAAAATTAAATTAGTTATTTTTTCCAAAAATTGAAATTTGTAACTGCGGGGGCGGTCAAAGTACTTGCAGAGGTAGCGAATCTTGCCTCCAAATGTGACTGCTCAATTGATGGTAGTTTTCGAGATATAACGTCTTAAATGATTTTTCGAAAAAAAAAATAGAAAACTTTCATTTAAAGTATTTCAAAGTTTGAAATTCTCAACTCTGTAGTTGGGTACTGCAAGAGTGCTCTGAGGTGTTGCAAGTCTTGCATCTAAATGCGGCTGCTCAATTTCATTTAGTTTATGAGGTTTGATGTTTCCGAATTCATTTTGTAATTTTTTTAAAGAAGTTAGATATAAAAAACCTCACAAATTTTTATGGTTTGAATTTTAAAAAATCTTTACAACATTTGAAATTTCCAACCATGTAATTGGGTGCTGTCAGAGTACAGTCAGAGGATGCAGTTCTTATTACGAATATAGACGGTTTTATGTGTTGTTCAAAATTCGAAGCACCGGAGGTGAGTTACACGCTTGTATATATTATGTATATGTATGTATATACATATATGTATATACATATATGCATATATGTATGTGTATGAGTATATGTATAAATATATGTATATCTCAAATGGCCCGAAATTATTTGTTTCAATAAATCTATAATACTTGTCACCAGAATATCTACGTTTCTTGATAAACATCCTGACTTAAGTACAGAATGATGTATGATTACTGAAATATTGAGAATTTGTTCAGATCAACATGTGTGCTCTGTATGGCAATCAAGTCAAAATGACTGGCGACCATGTTCGCACAAAAGAGCCGGCAAAAACTGTGATGGTGCCAAATTTCAGTGCTTTCAACAACAATTCATCGTCATCGTCCAATCACAACAACAGCAGGCGACTTTCTCCGTCCGACGGTGTAAGAAATAGCAGCAGACAAAGCAGTAGTTCGGGTGGTCGTGGAGGAGGAGAGGACTGGGGAAGGTATTCGAACAGCAGTCGATCCGGAAGCAGCAATAGTAGGTATTCGTCTTCGCGTGTGAGCGATCGAGGAGACCACCGCAAACCACCAGAGCCGGGATGGAAGCGACAGGCTAAGTACTATTGCGATGTCTGCTGTGTAAATTGCGTTGGCGAGCAGTCTTTCGAAGCGCATATGTCGGGTCAACCGCATTTAAAGAGAGTGAGAAATGCTGCGATACAGCAAAAAGAGATGGAAAACGCTAGCACTTCGGGAGGCGGAGTGGCAACCAAAGCGCCTGAGAATTTCTGCCAAGTGTGTAATGTTGCATGTAGTAGTTCGGAGGCATACACTGCACACATTAGAGGCCAAAAACATCAGAAGTCGATGAAGTTGTGGCAGTCGCTAGGAAAGCCGATTCCCGAATCACTGAAGCCGCAGGTTGTGAAAGTGATTCCGAAGACAAACTTCACTGTGGGAGGAACTCTCAACACATTAACCGGCAAAGTGAGGGTTTCGAAGATGTTCAGACACCGAGACAGCGTACATGATTAAAAAACTATATAACAGTGCTGATTCAAGTTTCCGTTCTTTTTGCGGATAGCTTGAATCAACCTTGAGCAAGTGAATTGTTGTGCATCATGTATGCTGTCAAGGTGTTTTCTGCTTGTGTATTTTTCCGATAGGACTTTTCGGCGGCATTTCCGAGCGAATCTAGAATAGACTAAATAAGTAAAGGATTCAAATCAAAAGTGTCATAGGTTGTTTTTTTTTCTGGCTATAGAGAGTTTCTCAAAGTTGCTGTGTATTCGTTTTGCTGATCATGAGGTCTCTTGCGTAAAAACGCTTCTTTTCTAGGGCCACGAAGGGTGTAGAAATTGAGAGATAGGTTGTTGTGCTCAATATTAGTCTGATGCTCTTTATGCGTGTTTTTCTACTTGTGGTATAAGATCTTAACTTTTTGAATCTAACTCGCAACTTAATTTTCAATTGAAATTGTGTACAGCTTAATTTTTGCGGTTTTCTATCGGGTATTATTTGCTTAAGCAAATGGCATTTATTGCCATTTGGATATGTCGTTTTACGTACACCGATCTCTGTTGAGCGACCATGAACGAAATGAAGACAATTTTCTAGCTTTTTGCACTGGGTTTTCAAGCATATTTGTGGAATAAAAGAAAATTTTCGCTCTCCAAAAGCAAAGTTACAAGTCAGGAGAATAAACGAAAGTCTTCGTAAATAGACTTCAATTTTAAGACTTCCTAGCAGAATAAAAAAACTTTATACGTATAAATATAAATTCAATTCATAATGCGTAGTTTTTACGATAAAGGCTCAAATGGCATAACTCCTAAGTGGCATAAAAATGAAGAAAAATCCCAAATTTCATATTTTCTATGCAACAGTTATATTGAGAAGTTTTTCGATGGGAACCATTTTGTGAACAAGGTAGAAAGCTAGTAAAGTTGTAACTCAACATTTTTTAGAAGCGATTATTTCACAATTCGTGTTTTCGCTTCTAGGAGAAATATTAGTTGCAAAGCGTAAAAAGTTGTTCATTTTATCGACCTTCTTCAGTTCTTTGACAATTTTCCAGCTGTCTTTCGGCTATGTTTAAAAACTGCTATGTTTAAAAAATGCTTCCAGTTTTTATGGTTAAAAAACTGATTACTGCTGAAAAGTTTGCTTTATTGAAAAGTAAAAATTTGCAACCAATGAGCATGTCATCAAGTAGTCGATTGTCATTCAAGTACAGCTTCTTACTTTCTCAAAGAAATCTTTCTTTTGTTTAGAAATGAAAAGATGACAAATTGTTTGTAATTAGGAATTGGAAGCCTATAATAATTTCGGAAGTTTTGCGCTTTCTTTGATTTTCTTAAATGAAAAGATAAAACCAATTAAATACTTGGGCGCGTAGCTCTTTTATGTCTAGAAAGGCTTAGACTTAATAAATTCCAAGGGAGACTAATTGATCAAAGAAAATTCGTCTATCTCAAACGGAAGCTGATGTCGAGTGTAAGAGAGGCCAAGCTGAGTACCACAGAATGTTCCGACCGCATTCATTAAAAACTAACAAATAAATAGGCAGGGAAAACAAATCAGATAAAATAAGAAATAGATTATAACTCGCAATGCATTTCGATAACAATATCGTCATCAGGCATTTCTATCAATGAAAACAAAAACGTTTAAAATAACGCAATCATTAAAATGTTTGAGCAAAATAATCTAAAATGATGGTTTCAACAAGGTTGACACAATACCAGCATTGGTATGCGAGCTCGCCCGCTGCCTATTCAATAGAATCTGATAGTCAGTTCTTTCGAACAAAGTTCATTCTTATGATAGTCAGTTCTACCAAACAAAATTTATTCTTTTTCTTCAAATCATTGTCATTTTTTTGCCTGCTGTGATGAAAGAACTGTACTAACGCTAAAACAGCTAGTGATTTAGGCATAGTCGATAACGGTTGTCTTAAAAGAATAACTATCACAAATCAATGTTCAAAGTTTAACATTGTTTACAAGAACTGCAGCATCATGAATTGGCGCGGACTCCATTCAAACCATAAGCGCATGGATATTTTCCGGTTTTTTGAGGAATCGACTTTTGGTCTGAAATAAAATGCTTTGGTTTTTGAACAGCGTTTTTGCAAATGAGGTCACTTGCTTAGAAACGCTTTTTTTCCAGGGCCAATTGAGAGATTAGTTGTTATTCTCAATTTTAATCTGATGCTCTTTATGCGTGTTTTTTTACTTGTAGTATAAGATCTGTTAACTTTTTGAATCTAACTCGCAACTTAATTTTCAATTTAAATTGTGTACAGCTTAATTTTTGCGGTTTTCTATCGGGCTTTATTCGCTTAAGCAAATGGCATTTATTGCCATTTGGATATGTTGTTTTATGTACGCCGATCTCTGATGAGCGGCCATGAACGAAATTTTCTTGCCTTTTGAACTGCGTTTTCAAGCATAATTTTGGAATGGAAGGAAATTTACGCTCTCCAATTGCAACTTTACAAGTCAGGAGAGTAAACGAAAGTCTTCACAAATAGATTTCAATTTCAACATTTCCTAGCAGAATTAAAAAAATTATACGTATAAATATGAATTCATAGTGCGTAGTTTTTACGATTAACGCTCAAATGGCATCCCTCCTAAATGGCCTAAAAATAACAAAGAGTCCCAAATGTCATATTTTCTATGCAACAGTTTCATTGAAAACTTTTTTTAATGAGAACCATTTTGCGAAAAAGGTAGAAAGCTAGTAAAGTTTAAATAACGATTGAAGTTTTATCTCGAAAATAAAAAATCAGAACTCTTATGAAAAGTTACAAACTTGCTGTTACTAAAAAGTTCTCGTGATCGTTTTCTCCAGCAGAATTGTCACTCAACATTTTTTGGAAACGATTAATTCAGAATTCGTGTTTTCGCTTCTAGGAGAAATAGTAGTTGCAAAGCGTAAAAACTTGGAATTTATACTTTTTGGGAAAGTAACCGTTTTTAAACTTGTCAAGTTTCTAACAAACATCTTGACCAACGCTTTGTTTTCTATACAAAACCATTATTTTCGTGCAGCCATAACAGTTGCTAATGCGTGATGTTGACCTTTACTCGATGTATTATTTTTTGTCTTTTCAAGCCCAATTCGATTTCGTATACTGATTAAATTTGTTTCAAAGTTGATTTTTTTCAGGGCAATAAAAAATAATTTTTGATAATTTTTTTTTTCGTGTTGGCAAGTTTTGTCGAAAAAATAATCATAACATGTTCACGACTCGCCCGCTGCTTTTTCAATTGAACCTGATAGACAGTTCTTTCGAACAAAGTTCATTCTTTTCGGTATCGGTTCTACCAAAGAAAACTCATTATTTTTCTTCAAATCGTTCTCATTTTTTTGTGCATGCTATGATGCAAGCATCGTACAAACGCTAAAACAGCTAGTGAGTTAGGCATAATTGATAACGGTTGTCTTAAATGAATAACTTACACCCATTGATTACAGGAACTGCAGCATATTGAATTGGCGCTGACTCCATTTAAACAATGAGCGCATGGATCTTTTCCGGTTTTTGAGGAATCGACTTTTAGTCTGAAATCATAAGCTTTCTTATCCACTTTGATTTTTAAGCCACGATTTTGAAGAGCTTAATTCCAAGTGTTAAACTTCTCAAAAGTCTATGATTCTGTTTCAGCGGATATCACATGGTCATCTGCATTTATCGTATTCCTTAGTACCATGGAACGACAGTTTCTCGTTGTCGATTCTATTACTTTAAATAACAATGGGCAAAATTTTGATAGCTTTTTTTCCAATGAATTGTGAAAGTATTGATACTCTGCTGACTGCTCCGAGCGCTTTGCTTTAGTTGCTTGACTCAGCTGCATTTTCCACTATTTTCATGGAACTTTTAACTTCTTCAGTTTCTGTTTGTTTTATCTTGCGTATAACTGTCTCTTTTTGTTTGGGGGGAGGCGGTGTGTTAAATTATTAGTTGAACTTTTTTGGGTGTGGTAAATTGGTTTATCATCGAAAAAGTTGGGCGTATTTCTTGGTGTTTTGGCATTGGTGTTCGATAGTCTTTGGTGTTCGGTGGTCAAATTTTTCAAGAAACTATCCATTTAGCCTTTTTGTTATCTTCGACTATATTCGACGATTTAGTTCACTGTTTTTGGGGGCTCCAGGAAGCTGTTGTTGTAGTTTGTCCCTTTCTTGTGAAAGCTTAAGAGCTTCACTTTGAAAGTCGGGTATTACCCCTTCAGTGCATTTTTGAGTATATGTCTAGATGCCGCGCCGCATATGGTTTTCCGGTAAACTTTCTCGCTTTCGATGGCTGATTTGGGCAGTGGAAGTTCTCGAAAGTCTTTTTTGCTCTGATTTTGTAAATTTCTCCAGTTCGCTTTCTTAAAATTATAAGTTTTCTTGGATGCCTTGACCGTTTGCTTTTCACAGGTGACTTTTATTGATTGCAGAGTGATCAACCCCAATTACGATGTTACAGTACCAATCTGTGGACATTGCAAAATTTGATGTTGCTGAGCTAATGTCAGGTGAGCTCTATTTGTTGTTTTCTGGTGGGTGTGTGTTCCTTGAGTACAACAAAGCCGGACCCAGCATTTTTTTGTGCCTTTTCATGGCGCGCGAGTCAGGTTGTAGTTCGGAAAACCACAGAGCATTATGTGCGTTGACGTCACTATGATTGCATATATTTTGAAGCAGTTTTTGAAGTGACGCAGTGTATCAAGGACTACAGCTTGAGTGTGGAGGGAAGTAGGGAAGTAAATATTATTAAGTGTAAGGTTGGATGCGCTGGTTACTTTTTTCATTGTTTCTTGTTCTGTGGGGGTCATTTTGGGGGTAGTTTAAGAGTTTGATATTTGATATTATCCTTGATAATCAATGCAAGTCCCTCCTTTGCCGTGATTGCTAGGTCGGTTTTGAGTGACAGTTTGGTATCTATGTATGGGCTTGGGTTCATTATTCTTTAACGAGGAATATCTGTTGTT